CATCCCTGCACACGATGACATTAGTCTTAGAACTACTAAGAGTATTTTGTGAAAAGAGTTGTTTCAGCCTTTCTAAAACTGTGTACAGTACACTATTTTATTCTGTTACTAGTAATTTACATAACACCTGTCCGCCAGAGGTACTTAGAAAACGGTCATCTTTCTGGTATTTCTGAAAAGGTCTCATCACCTTATCAAAGTGAAAACAAAGTTTAGTTAATTTCCTTCAGGAGCACAGTGATTAGTTCAAATAGCAGTTTCTGCCTCACGGTTAGAATTCATATTTCAGAAATGCTGTATGAGCTGGCTGATTATATTAGAGTGAACACATTCAGTTTAGTTGTTTACTATAGTGCTACTTTCTGTTGTTTCAGGTAACCTCAGCAGTCACCTCGTTTTGCCCCATAGTTCGGTATTGTTGAAAATGTGAACTGAAATGGAATTCATGCTTTTCAGTATTTATAAGTAGTGAATTTTACTTAGAGTTGTATTGGTTTTTATAGTATCTATGTTTAACATAAACTTCTTTTCAGAGTTATATGATATTTGACTTTAGTACATATGTTATGATTCTAGGTAAACCACAAAGTTTAATTTTAAATTCTCTGAAGCATAAGAACGTATTTTTTTAAAAAAAGAAAGAAACTACCCAAACTTGAAACACTAGTGATTAGACTAGTGATTTTTGCTATTTTTACTGGGATTATAGTGACCTAGTTTCTTGGACTTCCATAATGTCTGTTGCTTCAGTATAAAAAAGAAGTATAGAAATCTGTGAGAAAATATGTGTGAGTATGATTTAATCACTGTTATTTTCAGCTTTCTTCTGCTTCAGAGAGTTTTGCTTCTCCAGTCTGAGTTTGCTTTTGAAAATGCTGTGTAGACTGCATTCTAGTGGTGGCCATAAAGCTGATGACATTCCAATTCATAGTAAATGGCTAAGTGTTATCTCTTAAGAATTATTAGAACAGTTGATAAAATAGTTATAAAGTACATATTTATGGATAAACTGTGAAATTTATAATTCTTACGAATTGAAATATGTATTTCTTTTAAAATTACAATCTGTTTTAAAGTCTGAATTAGAAGGTTTTCAGTTACTACTTTTTAGCAGATACCTATGATGTTGAAAATATATAAAGGGCTTCCAGAAATGATAATGTTCCATATATATCTCATGTACTAGTTACCTGAAATGTAATGTTACCAGAAAAAAATTTTTTTGAATTAGTAGTAAATTGGTTCATCCAAGTTCGCAGTTTACTTTCACAACATAGGTGTGCAGACAGTTTGTTTAGATGTTTAATTTCCCCCATCTGTTCTGTCAGGATTATTGATTGAGCAGTAAGCCACTCCAGGGTACTCATAGCCTCCTTGTAATTGCTTGCCTTGGGAGCATTGTGTGGCCTGGCCAGCAAGCTGGGAGAGGTGTCCCTTCTGCCTCCCAGTAAACCCTAATTGGTAAAAGAATACTGGGGTGAATGTTTTTTTTTTTTTTTGTAAATGCCTTGTTGGCTAGATAAATATTTATATTGGGAATATTAATTGGTGATATTTTAAAATATGTAGTTTCTTATTTAATATTATTCTTTGAAATTAGTCACTGTTTAAGAGCCTATTCATGGTGGATTTTTTTTTCTCTGTCACCTTGTTGGTTTATAAATGGAAATATCTTCATCAAAGGTTACCAGAATATTTAATATTGAGTAATATTTACTGTGGCCTCTTTGAAACTTAAGTTTTGTTATATCTGAAGTAAATTGATATCTGACTCCTGGTAGGAGAATTGAAACTAAGCCTTTTTTCCCTAGAGTTTATGCTCTGCTTGGGTTTTGATTTGACGTGACCTCACATCCCTTTTTAACATTTGTATTTCTTTTAGTTCCCTTGTCCTTTACCTGTTTGGGCATTTGTGTGAAATGCAGGTATGAAACAGAGGGGTACATCCACGATTATAAAATTCAATAGGAAAAGAAGGAAATTCCAGATACCTGCATTCATACCTACACTTTGATTGTCACTAGAAAATCAGTAATACTGATTTTATGGGAAAGAGACATAGACTAATTTATCAAGAGAATCTTTTACTAGATGATTTCTCCAAGAATGTGATTGACCTGTTATTTATATACAAGTTATATGATAAGTTGTGTTTTAATGGAGTTGCATTGTACTTTGTCATTGTTGTGCTTCTGCTTTACATCACCATTTATCATACTCTTGTCTTAGTCTTTATAGTAATCATGAGATAAATTAGCCTTTTTGCAAGGGAAAAAAATTATAAGAATCAGACTCTTATGTTAGAAAGTATGCATTTAATATGTTAGTATAATTTTAGAAAAAGAAGTGCTTTGAGTGAGGGAGAACTCTCTTCCAAAACTAGCTTTAAAAAGGCTGTTGGATTTGAAATAATATGACTTTGGATTTCTAAAGTATTTCACAGCATTGTGTTTTGAAATCACTTAGATTTAAGGAGAGAGAAAAAGGGTATAATAAGAATAGTGGGAACATGTTGTATATTCTATACCTGTATGCAGAATATTGAAATCACTTGTGTTTTTATTTCTTGTGTTTCATTTTACAGCTGTCTGGAGGAAGGAGATGAGCAGAAAATCTTTCTTTTTAGTTGATAGCAAAATCCTTTAGTTGATAGCAAAATCCTTTAAGTAGAGAGGGCAGCTGAGTTGTTAGGATGTTTTTTTTTTTTCTTAGCATTGCTGATGTTTACATGTCAATAAGACAATACAGTACATTAATATTGTTCACTGCAAAGTAATACTGCGAACAGTTCTAATTATAGCATTGTACATCGGTATATCAATTAAAGCACTAAAAGCAAAACCATTTTGAGAAGCAGTGTTCATTTTACAAAGCTAAATACAATATATTTTATCAAGCAAATTTTTTAACAATAGTTTCATTTTTCAGTTGTTTTTTTCTCTTCAAAATGAAAAAGGAATACCTCTTTTTATGTACTCACTTTCCCTTCTGGCTGCAAACCAGGTATTTAAACAAAAATAAAGGATTGCCAGTTTTGCCAGCTGGGGATGAGAACCCGGCTGGTGAAATGTGGGTTCGGGAGGCAGTTAATCCAGCTTTTATGCTTTTTATGGTTTTATGAAAAAAGAGGTTAAAAACCACATTTGGCTCCTTTTCATGCATGCCACTGTTTTGTTACAGGGATGCAGATAAAGATTAGTTAGACTTTTTTCTTTGCTATTAGGTAAAAAACTGTATTGATTAATAATGGCCCACAAACAGTACATTCTACTAATTGGCCATGGGCTAGATCCCTCAATCATTGAAATCACTGTTACTTTAAAATGATTATATATATATAGCATTGCTTTCAATATAAGCGTGTGCGTTGAATTCCTCATGCTTCTTTGGGTTATCTTGGTTTTTATTTGTTCTTATGTTACTACACCCAGAATGCAAATTGAAATATTTTTGACCAGTGATAAAAACTAGAATTTGTTGTTTTCCAGAAAATATTTTCTTTAGTTTATGATTAACAAAAGATTCCTGGAAAGACAATCATTGGACTTGCTGTGATTTACTAATTCAGTTCCTAGGCTTTTCTGGCCATGAAATAAAATATTGATACTGTGGAATTAAAAATCTTTTCATAGTATTGTACAAATAGATCTTTAACACATATTTTCCTTGAAATTTGATTCATTTTAAAATCTCTCTACCAAAGTACCTTTCATAGTATTTATAGATAACCATAATGTAACTGGCAAAAATATCACCTGCATCTCTGTGAAATTACTGGTAAAACAGTCAATGACATAATCTTCCACAAAGTATTTGACTAATCCAAGAAAGTTTGGAACATTACAACTTTGTTCTTACCAAATTTTCTATTATATCATGTTATATATGAGGTTTTTTTAATTGATAAAATTTATGTCTGTGGTTTTCTTGAACTGTTTTTTTTTTTTCCAAAGCTGGAGAGGATTCAATAAAATGAGCTTTAAGATTATTCAAATAGTTTTTTTAAAAAAAGTATTGGAATTTGCAAATAGATGAGGAGTACCCCATTGAATGAGAAACCAAGATATGTAAAGTGTCATGTTGTAATTTAAACAGGTTGTTTCTTTTGAATATCTTTACCACAAAGAAATGATAAATGTTTAAATTGTAATAATGTATACTTGTATTAACTGTGTACAATTTTTACTTGTCAGTTAAATAATAAAGAAATATAAATAAAGGGAAAAAAAAGGTTGCTCTAACATAACCAAAGTTTTACTTTCATGCCAGTTTTTCACTGAATTTATTTTGCATCCAGTGCATGTTGGGAAACAAATACAAGGTCATAGACCAATCTGTGGTTTTTGTCTTTAATAAAAATTTTACTGAGCTACTGAGGCTTTGGATACTGAAATTTACTGCAAACCAAACAGTAAATCTTATATTTATTTTATTAATTATTTTTTTGACTTTAAAGATACAGGGGCCCAGAGAAGTTTTCAAATTTATTTTAGTGATTGTCATGCCTTGTACTCACTGCTGTTATATTGTGTTTGTTACTCTTGTCTTTCACTGATTTGTGCTACAGCTGTTTGGTTTTTGTTGTTGTTTTTTACTTAGGTCTTAAAGCAAGAATGTGTAACGCACCTTACATGCTCTACTGTGTAGCTTTAAATTGTTAAAGTCCATATTAGTGAGCTCAGGGTGAAAAATTTAAGTAGAACTAAGAGAAAAATACACAAATGTACTAACAGCTTCAATTTTATCCTTATTTACTTTGGTTTTTAAAATTTTTTTTACAGGTTCTTTTTTTTTTTTAAACATGGACCATTTATGGATATATGTTGAGTATTCCACATACTTGGTGTGATTGTACCTTTTGTAGGATGTTTCATAGTTTAGATCTCAGAATAGGCTACAGGCTTTTGAATTGAGATGCATTTATTATGGAAATCCTTATGTCTTAGGAGTAATGCTTTGGAATTAATGTGTAATGAATCATTTTGCTGATTTCATTTTAGGTGTTAGAAGACAACGACTATGGCCGAGCGGTGGACTGGTGGGGCCTGGGGGTTGTCATGTATGAGATGATGTGCGGAAGGTTACCTTTCTACAACCAGGACCATGAGAAACTTTTTGAGCTAATACTAATGGAAGACATTAAATTTCCACGAACACTCTCTTCAGATGCAAAATCTTTGCTTTCAGGGCTCTTGATAAAGGATCCAAATAAACGGTAAGCCTCAAGTAACACTCAGTTACTGATAAATGTGGCTGTAAGGAATTTTCTTATAGGAAAATTCATTCAGCTGTAACCAAAAAATAATGTGTTTGGTGTAGACATTCCCTCATTGACTTATTTTTAACTGCGTAATATAGAACAATTAAAAATTTTTATCCACTGTTTCCTGACTTGGAAATTTTGTGCAGATTGGACAGCTAAGGATTTTGAGTTTCATTACGAGGGAGTGGTTTCTTCATCGCCTAGCTGCTTGACCTTGCAGGCCTGGAGGATCCCTTTAGCTCCTTGTGGTCTCTGGCCTTTGTGTTTCTGCTGATTTACATTGTAGAAAGAATAGACCTGCTTCTTTTCTTTCCTCCAGCCCCAAGCTATGATAACACATTTTTTAGTTTTTTGTCATTTAAAAATATTATTCTCATTTCCATGCAGGACTGAAAGGATTGACAGCAAACAAAAAATATATTTTTTTAAAAAAACCTTTTACGCATTGTATTTTCTTTGTAACTACAGCTGTGAGCTAGAGTCCTACAGCTTTGCTGCTTTGCTCAGTGAGCCACAGTACTCGTTGTTCATGTTTACATATTCCTTCATCTATAAATGATTACTGATGCAATCACTATAGTATTATGAAACGACTATTACTAGTTTTAAAATGTTCTTAGTGTCCTTATATATGAATATGTGGACCCTCCCATCTATAGGTGTCTGTGTATTTCTATGAAATTCATCTGTGAATTTCTTTGAAACTATTAAATCCTAAGCATCTGGAAGATCGATGATTCCATGTGTTGTTGAATTGGCCATAACTCCTCTCAGAGTGTTTTGTTACAGTTTGTTTATAATTGATGTTCAACAGGTATTTACTGACACTGAATCAACAAGTGAAGGAGTAAATGAATCCTGAAATACAGGCTTTATGCACTTTTGAAATGCTTTATTGCATGTTTCTAGCTTTAAATTTATAAGGAATATGACTGTACCTTCAGCAGAAATAAACATAATAAAAGAGATACCATCTTTTTGTTTTCTGAGAAGCCATTTTAAAAAGGTGTGTGGTAATCCTGACACCTGAGGTGTGACCTTATATTTGTAAAATGATTTTGGTTTCTTTTTCAGGACACTTTCTCACCTTTGATCTACTTTGTTTTTTCAAAAGCATTGTACAACCGATAGGGTAGATACTGTTCACATTTCTGTTTGATTGAATGGGAAGCAAAGGGCTGGACAGGGATTAAGTGACTTAGCTCAGGTCTCACCGAAAGTTCAGGTGAAACAAGTGTAGAAAACATGTTTCTTGCTGCCTATTTGCTATCTCTTATGACTTTTATTTACAGTGCATTCATTTCACAGTTCAGATTTTGAAATGTGTCCATTTAGTCTGGTTAGGTAATGTGTATCTTTCATTTTACCTGTTTGATTTGGGATCTAATGTAGGGCTTCATCTCAAGGACAGTGAATTTTTATCCCATTCTTTTCTGACTCCTATAGGCAGCCGTGGCCCCCTTTTCCATTGCTGCCCTTTATCTAATGGCTGGTAGGACAGAATTGATTATGGTGTCTGTGTCCTTTTCCTTTGTTGACTGTTACCCCAAACCTACCACATGCGTAGCACTAGCATGTAGTAGGTGTTTAGGAACTATTGAGTAAGTGGGAGGTGAATTTCTAGAATGTTAATTGGCCTGGTGTGTATCGTCACTCAGAAGTTGGTGATGTTCTAAAGAAAAGATGTGATATTCTGAATCATCTGGTACTTTTTTTTTTATAATAAATGTATCAAGCCCCTTCACCACTGAATTAAAGTATAGGGAAAGCAAGAAAGAACAAGATAAATAAGTCTGTGCTCTAGAAATTCACAGAATAATGAGGAACACAAAGCACATATTCACAGATGTTTAGGCCAACTATGTGCAAACTGCTATTGAAATGATGATCTCTGGGGTACTGGAGAACTTGAGCTGGCTTATGTAGGAGTTGGAGTTTGCAGTGGCATTCAAGCAGAGAAATTCACATGGAAAGTACAGCTAGAATTACAAATGCACATGGCATTTGAGAAGTTCAGTGACTAGAGTGTGGAGTATGAGTTGAATAACATTGGGAGATGAAGTGGATGTGTTAGATGATAAGGACTTATGCTTCTTAGAAAATATTTAATCTTTATTCAGAAAAGGAATGAGAAGCCACAGGAGAATTTAAAGTCAGAGACAGTGTAATCAGATCTGTGCTGTGTAAAGGTAGCCCTGGTAGCTTTATGGGGGAAGGTCTAGAGTGAGGGCAGGAAGACAGCAGTTAAGAATGCTGCTGGCTGGGGCTGGGGATATAGCTCAGCGGCAAAAGCATCTGCCTGGCAAGTGCAAGGTCGTGAGTTTCGTTCCCCGTACCGGAGAAAAACCAAAAAAAAAAAAAAAAAAAAAAAGAATGCTGCTGGCATTGTCAAGGTAAGACATGGGTCCTTCCAGAAGCGGCAGTAAAGAGCAGTGAGCCGAGCTTTGCGAATGATTAAACAGAAATTTGGAGGAAGTAGGCGGGGTCAGGGCTGCCTCAGAGCTTTCCAGCTAGAGAAAGCTAGCTGAACCATTAACAGGAAGATGGTGGGCCATTATTAACAGACAGGAAGAGGATCTTTGGGGCTGATGTTGATAGTAACCTTTAATATGCCAAGTTGGAGATTTCTATGAAAACCTAGATGGAAATGTCAGTTCAAAATGATACAGCCATTCTTAAAAGGAATATAGTGGTAACTGAATATATGAATTTTAGAACCATGAGCATCTTAGAGGTAGTTTGAGACAAAAAAATAGTAGAGAGGATAAGAATGTGTGAAAAAGAGGGCCTAGAAACAGAGTCCTGGGAATCAAAAGTTTAGAGGCAGAAAGAAGAGAAAGCCTACAAAGGACCCTGAAAAGTCTTTGGAAGCATAATTAGAGACAGTATAACAGGATACTTCTTTATTTTTCCTATTCATTTACCTTAAATACTGCCTGGAGTTTTTGGTGTTCTTTAATGCATTGCTGTCAGTTAAAGGGTTTTGCTTTGATTTCCTATTCTCCATTACTTATGATTCCATCAGCCCCTCCTTTATCTTCAATGTAGAAAGTTCATAGGAGGGGCTGGGGATTTAGCTCAGCGGCAAAGCGCCTGCCTGGCAAGCGCAAGGTCGTGAGTTCGGTTCCTGGTACCGGAGGAAAAGAAACAAAAAAAAAAAAAAAGAAAGTTCATAGGAGAAAAGAAAGTTCATAGGAGAAGCTTGACCTCATGTTGCGTTCAGTACACTAAGAGAGGAATTCTGTGGTGTCTCTAATAGTAAAGAATCCAAAGCTGGGAATGGTTGCACACACCAGTAATCCCAACACTCTGGGAGGCTGAGGAAGGAGGATTGCAAGTTCAGCCTAGGCAAGTTATTGACTCAGCAAGACCTTGTCTCAACATAAAAATAAAATGTACAGGGGTATAGCTTAATGAGAAGGCCAAGGTTCAATCACCAGTGGTACCAAAAAGCAAAAACAAACCCTCCCCTCAAAAACCACCCAAAAATCCATAGCATCTAAGGATTTAGTTTGACATTCTCATATTGAACTTTAATATTCTAAGACATAAATAACTCAAAGCATATTTTAAAGTCTTAAGTTTATATTAGAGAGCCACTGACATTGAAATTTTTGACAGTTTCACACTTTGAGGAAATGTGTGTTAACGAATGTCTCTCAGTTTCTAAAATGGCAATCAAAGATTATAATCTTAGGCTTTGCATAGTAATTATGGATGGCACTTTATATATGTTTGATAAATATGGTGGCTATATCCAGAGCCCAAATATGGTAAAGTACTGAGGTTTCACATGAAAATGAATAACTGAACCTGGATTAAAAATCTTTTATTTATTAAATGATTAGGATTCTGTAGTTCCAATGCATTATACCAAGTATACTTCAAATGCCAGGCAGTATTAGAGGCTCTAAGACATAAAACTGTGAACAATAGAACTATAAACAAAGTGTAAAAAAGTGGGAAAGATTCTGATTTTTTTCATCCAGACCTTTGAATCCTACTTTGAAATGTTAAATTCCTTTTAGAAACATGTATTTAGGTGTTTCTGCTTTTCTGGTTCTCTACACAGAAGCTTAGAATGCATTTGTAATGATCTATTACTGATCTCCACACTCCAAGGAGTTTGCAGCCTACTATGGTGAGAAGAGCAAACTTGAAATAAGATGAAAAATAGTGCGGGTGGCGACCAGAATGCTAAGGGTTAACTAAATACAGAATTGGCAGGCTGAAGGTTACACATGTGAACATCACTGTTATGATCTAAACCAATCTGAAAGTCCTATCCCTGGTATCCAGTTCATTTAAAGAATTCTGTGTAGAACTGAGCATAGGAGACCTGCTGTGGGAACCATGTATCACCGCAGATACTCTGGTCTCAGCTGGCTGCTTAGTTCCCATCCTCACAGTGTGTCAGCGGATCCGAGGTCCTTCCCACTCTTGTGTTTCTTACACACACGAACCAGAATTCATTAGAGTGTGTAATTACTTACTTTCAGTGATTACTTTGATCTTACCAAGTGGTGTGTTAAAGTTAGTAGCTAGTTGTAAAATTTTTAGGAATTTTGTCAGCCAAATGCTAATCCAAGAGTCATTGTAAAAAAATAAATTTTATAAATACAGAGTCTACCAAAAAAATGTATCCACACTTCAGCAATTCACCATACTAATAAATGTCTGGAAGCCAATGGCCACCACTATGAGTACCTCTTGAGAGGTACTCATAGTAATTGTAGAGGCCAAAGGTAACATATTAATCTCATGATGTCTCAATACATTTAGTATTGAAATATTCATACAAATTTTTATTTTCCTGATGTGTACATTTTTGGGGAGGACTCTATACAAAATAGATCATGACTAGCAAAACAAAGGTAATAACTACTCAAAACTCACCACTTCCTCATACTTTTGTTACATTTTACTATTATGTGTGTACTTGAGGTTATATCTGTATGAAAATATGTAATTGCAGATAAGCTGCTATGATTGCTTCAAATTGGCTATACTGAGAGTATTTATATTGCCGAAACTGGCCAGTACTGCACATCTGGGTTTGATTTCTCGTTTTGATTGTTTAGACTTAAGGTGATGGAGAAACAGATGAATGGTTAAAGAAAATGTGGTACATACACCCAACCATAAAGAAAGAAGTATAAATTTAAGGTTTTTGTAGAAAAATGCATACACCTTGAGACCGTAATGCTAAGTGAGTGAAATAAATCAGCCACAGAAGTTTAAATATCATATGGTTTCTCTTATATGAGAAACCCAAAGTATAGTACACATAATTTAAAGATTATAGGAAATAGGAAAGTAGATCTTTTGGGGATGGGAAGGGAATCTAGGAATGGAAGGGAAGGGAGGGGAAGTAAAAAGGATTAAGGTGTGATGTGTATGTGTACCAGCTCCCTACAGTCAAATGTGTTCATTACGTATGGCAGGCATACTAGTACAAAACAAAAAACCAAAATTTTCATGCTAAAAAATAAGTCATAGAGAAAGTATTAACAGGGCATATTACAAGTGTGTTACATATGCATCTATTACATTGTAAATGGCACAGAAAGTAGATTAAATATTCTTCTATATTAAACTAAGAAGTGTGTTGTATATGTATCTATTACACTGTAAATGCCAAAAAGTAGATATTACTCTGCTGTTCCAAAACTATAAGCCATTCAACAAGGAATTCATTCACATATAGGACAGACAAGTGAAGTTTGATGTATGTTTCTGTTGTATCACTTTCATCTTTGACTTTAACATAAAAAGTCAACCTGTATTTATGTAAGAATTAATTAGAAGCTACTTGTATCCATAATTGGCTTTTGTGGTACACCAAAATTAGCAACAGATTCCTGTGAGAATCCATTACAATAGAAACATTGTAATTTTGTTAATCTTTGTAAATTTGGTTCTTTATATCAGTAAAATTTATAGTAAAATTATATATATATGAATAATTTCTCTGAGAGCTTATCGCATTGCTACCAGCACAAATAATCTCTAACCCTGAATAAGTCCAAAGAAAGTATCATATGCTAAATTCAGATTTTATATGTTTTCTTTACTTTTCCTCTTTTTCCTTGTTTCTTTCCCCCATCTCTTTTTCCCTCCTGCTTTTCTGTTACTTCTTAGAGTCTAATATGCTGTATGTTAAAAAACACCTGAATTTCGTTTTGTTCAAGTAAATAAGAATGTCTTCAAAAACTGGGAGAGAGGAGTATTTTTTAAATTTTTAATTCAAATTACAAAGCAAAGCACATTATAATATTTTGTAGGTAAAGAATGGTGTTTCTGTGCCGTTCTTTTGAGATATGAAAATAGTTTAAGTTCATAACATTACTTTATGAATTACTTTCTAACAAACTTTATTTCATAATTTATACTTACAAGAGTACCTTTGACTTGAGGCATTTGAAAAAGGAAACTAATTTAGAGAGTTGGCAATGATAATAGCTAGCATTATCTCCTAGGTGCTACCTATGCTATTTCTGACCCTTGCAGAACTAATGTATAACTATTTGTGCATTCTCCTGTCCCTCCTAAGTACCAAAAGTGCTTGCTGCTTTTAAGTCTGTCTACACAGTCTCTGCTCTTTTCCATTCGTTCTGAAGTTAATTCTTAATAATAACACATTAAATTAGATCCTACAGCAAATGCTTTTTATTTTAATGACTTTATTCTAAGAACTAGTACTCATAAAATTACACTTTCACAAGAAATTTAATGTATTGGTTTGATATAAATATTTTTACTCATTTAATTTTATTTCTGTCGTCATAGCCTTGGTGGAGGACCAGATGATGCAAAAGAAATTATGAGACACAGTTTCTTCTCTGGAGTAAACTGGCAAGATGTATATGATAAAAAGGTAGGATATGTTTATAGCATCATCTGTATATATGTTGGCTGCTCTGCTAAAAGGAATGTATAGCAGAAAATTAAGTAAATAAGTTTAATGACATAATGGTATTTTTCATTTTACTGTGACATTTAGGTGAGCCTTCAACTTCTTGGCCCAAATTTTTATTTACCATTTGTACTTCCTGAATGCATCTTAAAATTTTATTGTTTTCAAAGAATTAATTTTCTCTTTTCTTCCTGCTTAGTAATTTGCCTCTCATTATTTCTTTTAACTGACAAATAAAATATATCAGTGTTACATTTTTCTTTAGAAAAACTAGCAAAAAATTATAACCTTAAGAATTTTAACTGCAAAGTGTACACTTTAATTTATGCAAATCCTGTTTTGAAAGGAATTTAAAGAAACGTAGTTTTTATATTTAACAAAGTAATAACTTTAGTCTTAGACCTCTCATTTGAAATAGAACTTTGTTATCTACAGAATGGATGCTACCAATTATATCTTTATTTTTATTGTAATCTTATTGTTAATTTTAACATTAAGATTTATACTTGTGATTTGTACTTGAGTTTAAGAACATGAGATCATTCTGTTTCTTCCATCTTTTTATATTTTTTGGTACTTCAGATACTGTTAATGCCAACAATAATTTCATATTTTGATTTTTAAATGCTTGTGCAAAACTTTAATGTGAAATTTTCAGTAGTTCATTAATTTACTTAGAATTTTGATTAATTATTTTCGTTAGTCCATCCATTTCAGTTGTTCCAGCTTTCCTTAATATTCATTCTTTGACACATTTACCAATCCACATTTTTTAGGGTTTGTTTTATAATAGATATTAGATACCATTCTCTGTTAGCTCCTTAAATAAAGATGGAGTGCTGTATGAGTGGTGAGGAGCACACTTCATGTATTTCATTTTTGCATTATATTGTTGCTAATGGGAAATATAGCAGATTTTCTACCCATTTCTTGTAACTAAACATTTGAAATAGTTACACCATGTGTAACACTTCTATTTAAAGCTTCAAGTCAACCAAACTCCCCTAATTTGAGTTTCTGTCATGTATTAAAGTGCTGTGGTATTACTTCCTTCACAGCTCTTATGAGGAGCATGTTATTATTCTTAAATGCCTGTCTTCGTTACTTTTCTGTCGTTGCTGGGACAAAATACCCAATCCCAAATTAAAGAGGGAAAGGTTTATTTAGCTCACAGTTTGTGGAGGTTTCAGTCCATACTTGGCTGGCTGCAAGGCAGGGTGGAACATGGCACAGGACAACAGTTCATGGCGGTGAAAGACAGCAAAGGCAACAAGAGCAAAAAGGGAAGAGCAGCAGCAAGTAGTCTCCTTCCCTCCCTTACATTGTATGCAAACTACCTGCTTCAGGGCGGATATAGTACTCACATCCATAATTCCAACATTGGACCATGAATCAATCATAAATCTAGAAGCTTGCCCCATGACTGCATGAGGACGTGGGGAGACATCCAGACACAAACCATAACAATGTCCTAAATGTTTATTAACTACATATAAACAGTCTAACATTCAGTTCATGATGTTTATGGTCTGTATGACATGGATGTGTGCATAAGGAAGCTCATGAGCTATTTCATTATACTACAAAGGAACCTGAGAAAGGTCAAGATCTTGCTGTGTCTCCAGAAATAATACCTGGTCAGAATAAAAGAAAGAACATTTATTTAAGTATCACTTAAGTATCACTTATTTAAGAATCACTTAAGTATTTAAGTGATTGAAGTATCAATGTGGCACTGCTAACTTTAAGAAAGGGGCAAAACATGGATCTTTTTAGTCCTCTGATGAAACTAAGATACATTGTGCTGGTTTCCTCAGTGTACTGTTCAGCTTTGCACAGTAAATGATAGCTTGGCCTCACCTGGAGAAAAAGCTCTTGAGAATCCAGCCAGCATACCAGTGAAGAAGCATGGCTTGCCTTGGCCCTGTCTACTTGGCTAGACACACCCAAATGAGGCAGCCACCTGGGGGGAGTAGAATTAGAAGAGTCAGCAAGCCTGGCAGAGAGGCGCTGCCAAGACATATCCACCAGTTATGTATGTAGAGGAGTTAGTTAAATTGTTTTAAATTTAAAGAAAAATTGTAGAAACCACTTAATTGGAGCAAAGGTGTAAAAGCTGCTTTCTTTTTTTTTCATTTGTTTGTTTGATTTGGCGGTGCTGGGGATTGAACCTGGGGCCTCATACATGGTGAGACTTAGCAAGGGCTGATGCTGCCACCAGTTTACTTTAAGTGTCCTCGTGATCAGATGAGGCCCTGATATTTCATTACATACTCTAGAAAATCAGTATTATAGCAGTGCCTTCATATTTTGAGTCTCTTTTAAAAAATCTGTGAAAATGATTTGATCTAGTTGGGTTTGTATCATAGCACAGAAAAATAAGAAATTAATTAAAAGAACCAATCTGACACTGGTAGCTATTTTAATGAATTCAGTTAAAATTCTCATTCTTTGAGCAGTGTAAATTATAAAGTAATTTATGAAATTGAACATTTTTATGGGTCCCTTATATCTTTAAAATGCGTAATTTATTCATAAGTAGTCAGTTCATCTCTAAGATCAGATACTTTATGACTTTTATTAATAAGTGTTGGGAGATTTATTATTTTCATTGATTTATTGCATGATTATTGACCATTTTTCTAAAAGTTGTGGCAAATCTAGAAATAAAGACACATCTAGCGTTGCTGGTGTCTTTAGGGGAGATATAAATCTCTCTAGGCAAAAAAAAAAAAAAGTGAACTGGCATTAATTACAAGGAGTGTGATCACCACTCACAGAGCACTGGCCTAAAATCTAGACCCCAGCCTGGGTTGCTTCTTGCTTCCTTTGTAGAATGGGCAGGTCCATTTTATGGGCTCACACGTCCCAGTAAGATCATTTTAGAACTGTCAAGCTTTAAAATTCTCTTGCAGCAAATTTTCTAGTATGAATTCATCGAGAGAAATTTCTGAGTAGAACCATAGATTATGTGCTCTGTTTGTCAGTCTGCTAGGATTTTTTTTTGCAAGATTGTGTTTATGATTTAACAATGAGCCTACAGATCTAAAAACACAGTGTATCTCTCCAATTATTTAGGAGGTCTTTAATTTCTCTCAGTAATGTTTTGTAATTTTCAGTGACTAGATCTCATACATTTTGTTAGATTTGTCATTAAGTATTGGATAGTATCTGATATAATGGTATTTTAAACTTTTATTTTCACCTTGCTGCCAGTATAGAAAAATTAAGTGATTTTTTTCTATCAGTTTGTACTCTGTAAACTTGCAAACTCACATCTTAGTTGTAGCATCTTTTTTGGTGGATTATCTGTGATTCTGTGCAGCGATGGCCATAATCTTATGTAAATAAAATACGTTTACTTCATTTCAAATCTTCATGCATTTTGTTTCTTCTTTGCTTTATTGTATCAGCTAGGACTTTGACTACAGTATTGAACAGAAGTATTGGATACAAGTGGACATTCTGACTTTGTTTCTGAAATTAGAGAGAAAAACATGTTTTTCCTTTAAACTCAATGTAAAGTATGGTACTAAGGGCATTAGTGGGAAAAATGAACTCTATAAATGAAGTTGGTAATGGTAGTTTAGCTAATGAGCTAAAGTAGTTAATGAGCACATCTAGCAGCCGTAGATTTCTAAATCTCATACACCAATAAAAGGGACCCAAGCTCCTTGCTGAAGTGATTGATTTGGGAGCTGGTAGGGAAAATAAAAGATAAGCCTGAGGTATTTTGTGGTGCCAGAAAGTTCAGAAGAGCTTTGTTAAAAGGATAGAAAGGAGTCAGCCCTGTGGCAAAAACTGGGACAATTTCACTAGCAAAACACAGTATTAGATTATGATCTACAAAATAAAATAAACACCCACAAGCCCATACTTCATAAATAAATGACTGAAAAAAGAAATATTGAGAAAGGACATGCCTTTCTTGCAGATGAATTCCAGTTAATAAAGGTAAAGGGAGTGAGAGAGATAGAAAATCACCCATAGGACAATAGAATAAGGGTTGCTGCATGCAGGATCTGCCCATGCATGCTAAAATGAGGAGGCTGAGGTTTAAGAGGTGATTTGCATAGTCTCAGCTGATCTTCCCCAAAACATGATTTATAAAGATGAAAACAATACCTTGGGCTAGAGATGTAGCTCAGTGGTGGAGCACTTACGATGCGCAGAAACCCAGGTTGCATCACGAGCACCACAGTCAAGCAATCAGGCACTTACCTTACACTAGAGCAACTTGGCAGAGAATGCTTTCACCAAGTGATCAAGGTTAGTACTGCCAATAGTAAGACATACTGACATCATGTAGCCCACCAGTAACAACCCAAGAAGAGAATAACACTTTTGTAGTACTCTTCCCCAAAATGCATAACCTCAAGAATCATGAGAAAAACTGAGGAACATTCCCACACAGAGGGACGTTCTTCAGACTACCTGGTCAGATGACTAAGTGTCAACCTCAGGCTTCGTAGAAAACAGTGGGGGCATTCTCACAGTCTGGAGGACAGGAAGATGGTATAGTGACTAAGTACAGCGTGGGATCCTGGATTAAATCCTGGAAGAGAAAAACGGTATTAGTAGGGAGAATGGTGAATAAAGCTGGTAATGGTAGTTTAGCTAATAGCACTGCATTGATTGTTAATTTCTTAGTTTTGATAATTATAGGATGGCTATGTAGGAGGTTAAAATTTCAGGAAGGTTGGGTAAGGGATATGTGGTAACTGTACTATTTTTGTATGTGTTCTCTAAGCCTAAAGTTATTTAAATATAATTTTATATGATATTGTGAAGGGTTTTAAAGTACCTTTTTATTAGCTTAAGGAAATTATTTCTGGTTTACTGAGTTTTTAATCATAAATTAAAAGTATTTTCTGCATTCATTGCTGTGATCATGTGGTTTTTCTCTTTTAAAATGAATTAGCATAATCAGTGAGATTTTCCAGTATTGAGTGAACCTCACA